ATATCCCAGTGGTTGCACCATATATAATTTTTCTTCTGAGTCATCACGTAAGAAGGTTGTCTTTATAGCCAGTTGCTCTAGATGTAGATATTTCTATACTTTTATGCTCAACACAAATCTGATGATTATCATCTTCACTAAAAGAGAAACTATCTCAGTAAATTCAACTACTTTTTTTTTGGTAAAATCTATTTACAACAAGTCTTGTCTTGTAACACTTGCTACCATCTGCTCTTCTTTCAGCCTGTAAAACCACGTGTGCAGTGGTTTTTTTCATCTGATAGTTCTGTCAATTCTCATGTCAGATTTGACATAAGTGACTTCATCGTATCATCCATGACAAACTCTTACTCCGAGTCTTCTAGTTGAGTGACCTTGTCAGGGTACTCTGGTTCACCATTATCAATCATTCATATGTAGTTCAAAGAAGGAGAATTCCTTTATATCAGATGTGTAGTTTTTGTTGAACCTCCTAACTTTAGTAGAAAGTGTTTGAGGAACTTTCTGTGTTTCATCAGATTGAGCATCTTTTCTTTCTTCATCTTCTTGATGACTTGTTTCTTCTCTCTCAAAATATTTGGAAGGGTCTTTAGAAGTAACTAATGAACAATCTAGAGTTCTGTTTCTGTCATTGTACAACTCTATTTCATTGAAAGTGACATCCCTGTTTCTAATAAATGTATGATTCTAATAGTCATAAACTTTGTAACCAAATTCATCTGAGTCATACGAAGTGCACTTGACAAATATTGAATCAAGCTTACTTCTGGATCCTGCATCAACATGAACATATGATGAATAACCAAATACTTTTAGGTGAGATAGATTTATCTCTTTGTCACTCCAAGCTTTTTTAGGTAAGTCTTCATTCAAAATACTAATGAACTACGATTTATCAGAAAAACTGTAGTGTTCTGTGCTTCTGCACAAAACTGTTTTGACAAGCCTACATACAACTTCATACCCCTGGCATGCTCTGTGGCAGTTCTATTCATGCGCTCAACAACACATTTTTGCTGTCGTGTATTTAGAAAAGTAACTTATGTCTAATTTTTTCTGTAGCACAACAACTTTTGAACATCTGATCCTAATGCTCGATATTATTATCTGATCTGAGACATTTCAAGCTCAAACCTGTCTCATTCTCAACTATGAATTTTTCACTTCTTATACACATCAAATACATCAGGTTTATATTTCAACTATACCCATACATGTCTGGTGTGACCATCAATGAAAATGACAAAATATTGAGAACCTCTAACAGATTGAACTGGAGTAGACCCACTTTTTGAGAAAATAATATTCTTTTGCTTTTCATAAACACAATCTTCACAAAAATTTGACTCCGAGGACTTTAAACTCTGACGTTTGTTTTTAGAAGGCAGGGACTTCATACTTTTTGTCACTCATATCACCAAGATTGTGGTGCCAGAGACCTGTTTCAACCTCTGTTTTGGCTATTCTATTGGATTCAAACATCTCATTGATAAGATGAATGGTACCTTTAATGTTGTCTCAAGTTATCACTATTGCAACTTTAATCACATTCCATGAATCATCTGTAAAAACGGTCATATATTATGATCTTGCAAACTAACTTAAAGAAATCACATTTCTCTTCAAACATGAAACATGTTTACTTCTTTCAGTTTATAAACTAATTCATTTGGTAACATGATATTAACATCACCATTTCTAATAATACTATAGGCCTCACAAATACATCTTCCCTAGATTACTATGAGTATAACTTTTGAACACCTCTTTTTTATGGCAAGCATGAAAAGAGGCACTAGAATTAACTGTCCACAATTCAGTATTATCTAGGGATCAAATAAGGGAGTCACCTTGAATTTCATCTATAATGATATTTGTAGAAAGCTTTCTATCTGGACCTTAATCATCATCCCTTTTTGAGCTTTGCAGTCCTTTTTAAAGTGATATTTATTTCCATAGTTTCAACATTCATTTTTGTCTTTTTCTCTCCCTGACCTGAACTTTCCTCTCCTAGGGTTGAATCTTCCTCGTCTTGTGTTTCTATCCAGATTCATTTCCTTAGTACAGACATTCAAATAGAATTTTGGAAGTTTCACAGCTCCCCTCCTTGCCAAGTTCTTCATTAAGCACTAACCCTACAATATCATTAATATTTAATTTAGTATTACCTGAATTGTTACCACCGCAGTAATTAGTCCATCCCAACTATTTGACAATAAAGATAAGAGTAATAGTCCCTTATCTAACCATCAAACTTAATGCCAACAAAACACAACTAATTTTTCACAGTGTTGAAGTTACTCAAGTGTTCAATCACTAAACTATCATTTGCCATTATTGTAGTGAACAAAACCTCTTCATCAAAAAGACTTTGTTTGAAGCCAAATGCTTCTCATACATTCTTCCCGATGCAGTTATGAGATCAACAATAGTCTTATCATTCATAATGTTGAAAGCAACATATGAGAAAAGTGAAAGTCAGATCAAACCTAATTTGTTTAATAAAGAATTTATCATTCTCCCAAAGTCATCGATTCCTATTTTTGAGTGATTCCATCCAATGACAAATATAGTTTCTTTTATTATACAAATATTCAATTTACGTGTTCCAGAAACAATATTTGAACTATTGAACTTTTCAACCTTGTACCTCGCTTTGTTAGTCATTGCTCCCACCCAAACCAAAGATCTTTAGAAAACCCGGCTCTGATACCACTTGTTGGGAAGTAGACGTGGAAAATTGATTCGATGGATCTGAATTAAAACTTAGAATACAAGTGCACAAAACAAGAAATCACAAAAAAATATAAAGAACACCAAGATTTAACATGAAAAAACTAGAGAACGGGAACAAACAACGGAGCCACACCGCATCAAGAAATATACTATGAAGAAAATGAGGAGAATAGTACAAAATACACCTCACTCAAGTTTCTTCACAATTTTGAACCCTTCATAACTCTCCTCACCTCTCCTTAGCACAAAAGAAAATAAAATCCAACTTAACGCACATATCCAATTGGCAGGTTCAAAACTTAAATCGGGGAACTACATAAATACGGTTACTGGCGTCGGGAAGCCGTGATAGGGCCGCAACGACGCTTCAAAGGACGTTGGGGCGTTGCAATGTCGTGCTCTTGGGTTTCTAAACCTGAACTGGGTGCTACGACACTCCCCTCAGAGTGGTGCAATGTCGAGCGCTCGGGTTCCTAAATCTGGATTAAGCGTTGCGGTGCCCCTTTCGGAGCGTTGGGGCACTTCTGTTCCAAGAGCCGTGGCGCCGCATCTAGGCACTGCAGCACCTGGTATAGGAAATAAAATTTTTCTAGGGCAGCACTCCCGATCCCAAAATAGGGGGGACACCGCCCATAACCCCCGACAAATTTACTGTCAAGCATGAACGGTGAACTTTTAGGCTCTGAATGAATAATTGATCAACGCAATTAGACTCCTCATAATAACACTATATCACTCTGAATTTTTAGTATCTCGGACAAAGATACTCCCAAATTATTATTTTTTTATTTACTTTTAATTACTATTTCAGAATTCAGTTGAAGTTGACGTTTATTTTTGAGTATGTCATAGAGTAATTATCTCTGATAAGATGTAATATTTGATTTGAAATTATTTGCGAGAGAAATTACAAAAATTGAATTTTTTTCACTTGTAATTCTGGCCTCTACTCCTTTCGCTTCCCTTGAGGCCACCAGCAGACTCTCGGGTCTCGACCCTCTGTGTAGCAGAGAAGTGAATATGATTTGTTACTTATCAATATATAAATGTGTATTTATACTATTACCTTTAAAGTAATCTCCAACGTCAATTCATAAAGCAGCCAATGCATCTAAGGCGAAGAGGGTGTTTTTGGCTACTATTTTATAAACTCGTTTCAAACTTGACACATGAATGGCGAGAGCAATGTAAAATAAGTCTTATAGGTCTGTATATATGTATGCTTTGATTAGTGTTTTATTAGTTGAGTTCATGAAAATTAAATAATTTTGCTGTGAAGCCGGATTATATCTTCCTTAATTAATTGTTCGTAAATTAATATAATAAGCTGTTCTACAATGCAAACAAAAATGTTAAAATTCAGGAAAGCATGCTTTCCCAAACACTCGAATCATAAAAGCGGCGCTAGGAAACTAAAGAAAAAAAAAGGTTTAAAATCCCCACCTCGCCCCACACTTTTCTCCTTCAAACAACCAAAGCAGAAATCCCTTGGCTTTTTGTCGACGATCGGAATTTAATTAGGTTTTGAATCTTTTAGGATGCAGGGTCCCGTATTGTCCGTGGGTTCATACAACCTGAGAGAGACATATAAAGAATGTGAAAGCAGATGATGAAATTGTTCTACAAGTAAAAATTTTCCTCTCTTCAATGATCTACTTGTTTCCTCGAAAGGAGGAAGTGATTTAATCTCTTCCTAAAAACGACAGAATTAAAGAGAGAGAGAGCAGTAGAGCAATCGACCAATCCCTCTTTGAAGGTTCCCTCTGCTTATTCTTAAGAGAGAATAAAATAAAATCATGAACCGTACGAAACGAATTTTGTCCACGATGTCTTGTTGAAAGTCCGCGATGTGAATGTCAAGCAGCTCCTCAATGATGATGCACCATATATCAATCCTTTTAATTCGGATCCTTATTTTGGCTATTTGTCAATCCTGAGGTTCACTGACCAAGGCCAACTCAATAGACTGGTCAACTCTTTCAATTTGACAGGTCAATCTTGTAGATTTGATGAATCCGATGAGGTATGTATTAGGCATGATGATGGGCTCCAAACCCTGTGGTACTTCAGATATCCATTGGTCGAGAATTGGTCCACCAAAGCCCCTTTATTGTTTATGGGCCATGGAGACCAATTAGACAAAAGGGAATAAAAATGAAGTTAAGAATCTCAAAGTAATAATTATTCTATTTCACCGACTTTGTCAAATTAATTCACAGCTTATCCCTTTGAAATTTAACCTCTAATATAAATTGTGCCTGCAGGTACCTTGAAGGTGACTTTGACCGTTATGTTAATCAGATCAGACAGCCTCATATTTGGGGAGGAGAGCCAGAGCTGATAATGTGTTGTCATGTTCTCAGGTGACTATTACTTCTCTTGCTTACTTTTTTGAAGCTTTAAAATACTGAAAGCCTATCTACTACTGTTGTACGCCTAATGTAACGCCTCTTCAGGATGCCAATAACAGTTTATATGCATACTAAGGGATCTGAAGGGCCTAATGTTATAGCAGAATATGGTCAGGAATATGGAAATGAGGATCCAGTTCGTGTTTTATACCATGGCTATGGACATTATGATGCACTGCAGCTTCCTCTTGGCAGAGCACAACCTAAATTGTAAGTTAATTCTCTCTCTCTCTCTCTCTCTCTCTCTCTCTCTCTGCAACCATTTCTTGTAATTTGGACTGTTAGCTGAAGTTAAATAACTTGAGGTGTAGGTGCAGTCTAATATGATCATTCAATGTTTTAATTGGTGTTTGTAAATGATTTAGGAGAAAAGTGTTAAAATAATCTCTTTATTTTTTATGGGGTGCTAGTTTAGTCACATAATATTTGAAAGTGTCAAACTAGTTCTCAATTTTTTTTTAAAGGAAAATGAAACCTCCCTTATTTTAAAAGAGTTTAGGGATTATTTCAGATCATATTAGGAGAGTATAAGGATTACTTTGACATTTTTATAAACTATGGAACTAAAATAAATTCTGAGAAAAAATTATGAGACTATTTGACATTTCTTAAATTTTTTTAGAAGATTTACTTACATGTCATACACTTCCTTTGTATTTTCAAATCTAATAGTATTTACATATCTAATAGTGAAATTGTTCAATCCAAATTTGTTCTGGAGAGAGCCTTGGAATAGAGCGTTAGGAACATAGAGAGAGAAATAGAGAGAGAGAGAGAGAGAGTACAATGATTTGGCCCTCAGGGCGAAAACGGGATATTCCTGAGCACTGTAGCCCATGTTATATTATTGAATAGTTGGATTATAAAGAAAGGGAGAGAAGCCCCTATTATTAGGACATAGAAGAATAGAAAGTAAAATTTTATGATTGCCCTGCTTTAAAGAGGTTTTACAGGGCATTATAGTCTTTTTGCATGTCTGGGTCTGTTGCTTGGAAGCCCATTTGACCAATCAACTGAACCGATCTCAGTTGGCTCTTATTTATGGCTGCTGGTCGGTTTTTGAGTGGAATGGTTGATCGGCTTTTGGATGGTTGGTCGGCTTTTCTGATTGTCAGTGTTTGATAATCTTTGGGGGTACTTCGAGGGAGCTTAATATTTAGTGCTCCTTGAAGGGTTAGGCTTTTGTTCGATCGCTTCCTTCATATTGGACGGCAATGATGTATTTGCTGGAGTGTTTGTGGACTTTTAGCCATTTTCATTTGTTATAGCATGAATGGTTTTTTTGCTTGCTGATTCTTGGCCCAGTTGGCCTATGAGTCGGTCAGATTTGTGTGGCGTCACCATCTTTTGTCAGAGAGTTCCTCGTCATGCCTTCTTCAATCCAGACTGCTAAATCATCTCAAGATTCATGCCAACACATTTTTCGGTGTAAAGTAACTTTTAATTTTTATCTCCATACCATTTAACCTATGCATGAAAAATATTATTTTTTTAAAAATTTAATAGTTTAAGATTCAAGTGTAATGAATATAAAAATCAAATTTGAAGGGTTGGACATGTAAATACAAGGAATTGCGTGTATGTGAATGCCTTTTTTTTTTCTTACTTCTTTGTTTATGGAACTCGTAACATCTTAAAGTCACAACTTTGGGCTTTTCGCAGGCATATGAAAAGATGAATTAATCTGGACAAAAGATCTTATATAGCTTATGCATGATTCGAAGAGGGGCTGTCGGTACTTTGTATCAACAAATTCAATCAAATTTGTAGCGTTGTCTGCTTATGCAACACTAATATTTAATGTTACAAATTTTATGGTTATTTCGAACTTTGTACCGTCAAGGACTAAATATCGACATTTTGCCATTTCATTCTGGGATGGCTTCCTGTTATATATTATTTGGGTTGGGTTTTGGATGTAATTGCAATGATTTTAAAAATTATTTTAACTATTTTATACAGAATTTAATTTATCATTAAATAAAATAAATATGAAGAAATAATAATTTAAACAAATTGATGCCTATATATATATATATATATATATATATATATATATTATAATTTTTTGTTGTGCTGTAAAAATTGAGAGGTTCACAACTAATTTTTTTTTGTAGTGAGATTAACATACGTGCCACCTTAATTAGAAAAGGTGTATTTCACTTTTTAAAGGTTAAAATGGTGGTATGTTTTGTGATATGAAAGGCTTGGGAGGTATAAATATAAAAAGTAAAAGTTAGATGGTGGATATGTAAATAGAGAGAACTTGGTGCATATGTAAGTGACCTTTTTTCTAAGCCAGCATTAGGATATTGTCATTTTAAAAATTGGGCAATATCTTCAATTTTAGTTTATATAAAAAAAGCACGATGAGAAGTATTATGATCCATGTATCTCTTTCATGTTTTAACTCATAGATGCATGTTTTCATAGAATTTATATTTAAATTAAAAAATAAATTTGAATGTATTTTAAAATTATCAAAAACTGAAAGATTTGAGGCACTAGAGTGATTATTTAGCGCGTAGCATTGCACAAAAGTTCAACACATAGTCAGGTGATTAAAGTGACACGTAGAGATAACTAGAAGTTTTTAGAAACTTGAAAGAAAAATAATCGAGTGGCCTAGTTTAGCTGAAATGATCCACTATGGGAAACTGTTTACATGTCCAGACCCTTATTCCACAAGCCAAAAAAAATTATACAGTCCTCAAAGTATAATGTTCATAGGCTGAAAAAATCATTGCACAACAGTCAGGAGTGGCTGAAGTGAGATTAGTTGTCGGAGACTTAATATATCATCTTTGAAGTGTGTTGTTGCACTGTGTTTAGAATGATGTGTTGTTCCGTAGGGTGCTTAGTTTCTTCGCGACAATGGTAACTCTGCACAATACTTCGTTATTTCGAAGTTTACGTCTTGGACTCTGCATGGGGCTTCGCTACAATGAGTAAGGGCTGGCCGGAGGTGGTCAAGGACAGTCGACAAGTGATGGTCGATGGTTGCAGTAGCGAGGAGTGTTCATTGTGTATTACTATAATTCAACTTCTTCATGAACCAGCTCCAGGTTCAGCTCCTCTTGTTTAAATTCTAGATCCCTTTTCATGAAGGGAGTTGGGTCTTATTTATATTGTTTAGGAGATGCTTCTTACAATTAAGGAAGGATTCCAAACCACTCCATTAGACGTCCCAGAAAGAATCCCTTGATCTGACGATGTTCGGTGAGCATTTAATTGTCAAAATTGAGTTGACTCGAACTCATTTGATTTGTCTCATGATGCTCGATTCGACTATAGGCTCCTCAGATTTAAAATCCCTATGACCTTTCAATTAGCTGCCCAAAAATTCTAAAAGTGGTTTAATGAATTGATTTGAGCTTGATTTGACTCAGATTGGACAAATTTTGGAGTGATTATCTTCTACTAAAAATTGGGCTCAAATCATGGGCCAATTAGGCTTGGATTTGGTCTAGTTTGGCTATATCAAAAGTGAATTTGAGTTTAGGATTGGAATTGGGGTAAATTGAGATCAAATTGATGGACATTTGAGTTGAATTTGGGGA